TATTTTTATAATTGGTTACTGAATTAAATCAAATACTAATATATTGTGCTTCCTTTTAAATAATAATAATTTGGATTTTAAATTGAAAAATAATATGATATTGATGTTGTAATTTAATTTAAGTTATCGCATTGTGTTTATTAGTTTAAGTATTTTTAGTTTCTATACTAACAAACGTATCCCAATCTTAATTAAATATGAATAGTAAAATAATTTAAGTACTTAATCCAGACAATATTCTTTCGTATCAATTTTGGCATTTAAACGTATAAATAGACAATTATGCATTCCATTAATTATGTGTTTTAAAAATATAATTATTGCGATTGAAAATGATCACCGTAATCAAAATAGTAAATCTATAGTTGTTGTGTGGRAAAACGTAATTGGATGACTTGAAGTGCCTACTTACCTAGCTGTATATTTGAAAAATGTTGTTTGTATGGTTTATTGTAAAACTGATGTATCTATAGCTTTGGRGACAACATTAACAATTTAATAAATATTTAATAGGTATACCTACCTTCATTGTACAATTATTTTCGATTAACCTTATATTTTATGACATAATAAACATTTAGATGAAATCAGATGATATCTGACACGCATACAGAAATACGAAGAGATCATAAAACGCAAGATAACAAAATTTAAGCAACATACAAACGAAATCGGATAAAAAWAATAATATAARGAATGATTCTGAATTTAATCAACTCATAAAAAAAATGTAAATTCAACATAGGTTCTTGTTTTTCAATAAAATTCGAAATATATAAATTATAAATGATCAATGAACTCTATATATGGACTACTTTATAGTACCTATTACATCTAGGTTTTTATTATGTACCTATGTTAATTTTTTTATTATTTTATAATGAACCATTGCGAAGACTGTGCATTAATAACACCATATAAAACTCGCGTGCAAAACACAGGTATAAACATGGTATATAATTGTACCTACCTGTATTATTCAGGTATTATATTATGGTTACGAATATTTAACGTTTTAAGTAGGTACGCGAATTCGTTTTATTGACAGTTGGTAATCAACCGGGATGGCTGATCTCGCTAATCAGTCCAAAAAATCTGAATTACTCGGTCACTGGACATAAAAAATATCAAATACAACATACATACATATATATATATATATAATGGATTAACAGCGAATATATACAAAGAATAAATTATAATAACTGGTAAAGATTAATATCAAACATAWATGTTTATCGATGTGGAACATGGAGTAATGAAAGAAAAAAAACGTTGAATGTACAACTGCTGTTGCAGTAGGTTAACCTATAGGTAGGTAGACTGTTTTTAAAACGTGCAATTGCTGGCATTTTTCATTTCTCTTTTTTCTTTGTCTAAAAGAAAAAAAAGTCATCAACAGTTTTAGCATTCTTGATACTATTTTTGTACGGTTTGAGTTGCAAAAAAATATACATTATATTCAGTATTCCAGTCAACTTTTGTAAGAGACAATTTTTCCCCTCTAATTTAAAACAACATAAATCTAATCATAAGGATTTCATACAGAATCCATTTTGTTTACCTATTTTATTTCCTCGCAGACATTGAGTGATGGCCGTTTGTCACACTGGTGTTTTGGAATCGAATGTATACGCATATATATATACCTCGTGCGTGTGTGTTTGTTTGTCCGCGTGCGTGTGTGTGACTACATAGTATGTTACAACATCAATCAATATGTCTAAAATGTTGTTCTTAACTTCTTCTTTATTTATTTTGTTATTC